CCTCCAGCCCCAGCTTAAAGAGTTGCATCTAGTTAAGTGGATTTGTTTGTCTCTCTTCAATGGGCCCTACTTGGTTGTACTTATATGTCTCATAATTGTTGGTTCTCCCTGAGATTCGCGCTGGCGCATTTCCGATGTATAGCCTGAAAAATGATCAAAGATGAGCACTAGCAACACATCAAATATTTTGTTGGTTGTGAAGGTCGTGAGCTCACTGGCAATCAAAGATGCCAAGCTGATACAAAATGGCCTGAAAGGAAATTTGGAATGTTGTGCTAGCCATTCATAGCCTGAACTACACAATGTTGTGCTAGCCATTCAATTAACAAAGAAGAGGAAAAAATTTGGAATGATTTTGCCTCAAGTAAATGTTAACATTTAAACAACCACTGAAAATTGACATTGAGCTTGTTTACATTGAAAGCCTTCGGTCTTTTTTGGTTGTGGATCGTTGGAATCTGAAAGGCCATTGCTGGCCATCTTAACTAAGAATAATTCAAAGAAGCAAGATGATGAAGAAGCTTTGTCATCGTCGGAGAAGAAGATGGCATCGACATCAATGTCCGCATCAGCAACGACAATGCTGCTTTGCACTCAACATAATGATTGAGAGTGTAGTTTCATATAATAAGATCGTGAGTTCTAATTGCACGTACAATACGTTGGGCTCACCTTTCCCCAAAGAATAAATTACAGAAAAAAGAGAGAACTTTGCAAGTGGAATCAAACTTATGTAAAATCAAAATTAAATACATAATCTAAGGGCATTGAAATATGATTGGAATGCAACAACACATAAGATTTATTTGCATGTGTGGGCTCCTCTTAATGGAATATAATTTAAAACCAGAAAAGGAATACAATGTGGAATACTATGGTTCAGTCATTAGGCACAGTTTATGTGCAGGTCCTCTTTGTGCTTGTAGGGTAAGAGTTCTTAATTGTTAGGGCTGCACATTTGTTGCTCATTATCATCATTGCGACGCTTATAATCCGATCGGTGTTGTTTTTTTATTTTTATTTTTATTTTTTAACAAGTCAATACGCGCGCACGCACACACACATATATCTTAATCAAATCTAATTTTCGTGCTAAAAATTTCAATATTGTCATTGACACTCATATAATACGTTTCATATTTTTCTTTTCGTCAGCATGTGCGCGCGCGCACGCGCTCCCGCACACACTCGCACGCGCTCACGCACACACTCACACACGCGCGCGCGCACACACAGACACACAGACACACACACACACACACAACGCGCTCACGCACACACTCGCACACGCGCGCACGCGCACACAGACACACACACACACACACACACACACACACACACACACACACACACACACACACACACACATACATTCATACATAATACGTGCTAGAAAATTCGTGGCAGTAGAGTAGTATATTATCGTCTTAGTATGGTACGAAGATTCAATACACACTCAGAAAAGAAAAAAAATAACTAATAATGTCATGATAGGTTTTTGTGGAAAACCCAATAAGTTAAAAGTTATGGGATCTGATTCAGTTGGAGAGTTTAATTATAAGAAAATGTTTACAGTTGCAACTACTTATCTTGCAGGTAGAAAATGTTACTAGGTTTCTCAAATTACTACTTCAATGTTTTGACAATTTTGTTGCTAGGAACATACGACAATTGATAACGACTGAAGACGTCCAGTTGGTGGTGGTTAATGGTGGTTTGCGGTGATCAATGCCCGTCGGCGATGGTAGCGGCGGTCGGCGGCAACCGTTGGAGATCAATAGTGTTCAAACACGGCAGACAATGGCTGACGACGATCGCCGGCGGGCGCGAACAACATAGCGGGAGTTGAGACTTCAAGCTCTCCTCTCCCTCATGAGAGAAGTGAAGTTTTATTTATAGTATTCTAAGTGCAATTAATGCAAGAATATAAACTATTATGATCGAACGGTCCATAAAACCTCCTTCGATCAGATGGCTTTTAATTGTTATTTGAGTATCTTAACGATGTTAGAATTGAGCAAGTTTGGGCTCGCTGGATTCGTCTTGTAGAGACGCTTGTTTCGACCATAAGCTCATACGAACGGTCCATAGAACCTCCTTCGATCAGATGACTTTTAATGGATATTTGAGTGTCTTAACGATGTTGGAATTGAGTAAGTTTGGGCTCGCTGGATTTGTCTTGTAGAGACGCTTGTTTCGACCATAAGCTCATCAGATTCGACATTCATTTGACTTCCCAATATATGCTCATAAAGCTTCTAAAATTGGTTTAATGGCTTGATCTGAGCTTGATTTGACTTAAATTAGATCAATTTTAGTATCATCGGGTCCAGATCATCGAGTCTGTCGGTTTCACTCCGAGCTTTGGATGACTCTTAATTGAAGTTTGAATGTTTTTTTGCTCCAAAGATTGTCTCAAGATTCGAGTAATGCCTCAAGATTGTTTTGGATGGGCATTTACATATATACCACTCAATTCCTATGCATTAACATATTTAACGCCTAAACATTATTATTTTACATTATGACCATCCAAATCTTTTATCCCATAAAAAAATAATCCTATTTAATTTATAAAAAGGAAATACACTTTTTAATGCATGGTTCAAGCGGCATATATATGTATTTTGCTATATTTCTATATTATTATTAATTTAAAATGCCACATAAACAAATATTAAACTTTAAATATTAATGGCATTTACATACACTCCACACAATTCTTATGTATTTACATATTTGACACCTAAGCTCTGATATTTATATACACTAAGGCTGTCAAAAAAGCTCGTTGTTCGCGAACAGTTCGTGTTTGGTTTGTCAATGAGTTCGTGTTCGATTCGTTCAATAATTAAACGAGACGAACGTGAATAAATTTTTTTTCGTTCGGTTAGTTAAACGACTAAACACGAACAGTAATCTAAGAGTGATGCATTCATTATATATAATTTCATGATATTTTAAAAAATAAAATTTTATAAATTATAATATATAATAAATTAATAATAATAATATTTTAATATACTATACTAATATAGATATTATATATTTATATAATATAAGTCATATAATTAATATAATATATTATTTATATATATATTAATATTAGGGATGTCTTTGTCGTTTGCGAACAGCTTGTGTTCGGCTTGTTTGTTAAGAAAAGAACATGAACTGTGACTTCAAAAACAATTTCAACACGAGCTTATTTCAAACAAACTAAATTTCAAACGAACCGAACACAAACACAAGCTCTGTTCGTTCGTGTTCGATTCGTTTACACTCTTATTATGCACCTCTCAAATCTTCTAACATCATATCAAGATTACTCTCATCACTAACTATTTAAAAGTAAAATACATTTTTCTGTATAGTTTTATGATACCAAAGTTTTAAAAATGTAAATATCAAATTGTAGACATTGGGTGAATAAATACATAAAAGTTTTGCGGTGTATCTGTAAATTTCCCAAATATTACACGTCTGCTAGGGCACAACCGATCACCGCGCGAGAGCGTGCTAAAATTTCCCGGCCACTCCGTCATCGCAAACTTTCATCCTTCCTTCCCTCCAAAACCCTAAAAACCATTTTCCCTCGCTTTCATCGAATTCAAATCCAAAAATAGAAAAGATTCAAATTTGAGTCAACAATTGATGCTCTCACAAGCCTTTCGCTCTTTCTAGCATGAAATCCCTATTTCGCCCCCCTTCCTTAATACATATTGTTGACTCTCATCTTTCCCGCTCCCTCCCCTTATACTCCCAAACCATCTCAAATCATCGCCCTCAGCTCCGCTTGAAATCCTTACCGACTTCTTGCTCCAGATCATACTCTATCATGCCGGCGAAGGAAACCCTTTTATCCGCAGCAGATGGCCGAGCTCTCTGCGGTGAGATCCATGTGATCATCGGCCCGATGTTTGCTGGAAAGACGACGGCTTTGCTCCGCCGTATTCAGATTGCTATCGACGGTGGAAGGTTAACATCTACTCACTTTCCAGGCTGTGTTAATTTCGGCTTGTTTCTAATTTGATTCGTCAACTCTAATTTCTCAGTTTTGGATGTCAAAAACTTATTTTTAATTCATTTAATTGATTGGTTTATCGTAATTTATGTTACTGATTTGCTATGCATTTGCTATTTCTGTTGAAACTTTGTTGGGATGAATACTTCATGGGACTTACATACACACACATCTATACATAAATACATACATATATAGTGCAACTCAATATAACAAATTATCTGCAGCTAATCATTCTAAATTATGATGATTTTTTTATATTTCTTGGAATTAATTTTATACTTTGAACTTTAATTTCTAAAACTTTATGCAACCTTTAGATTTTATTTTTTTTCTTGGCTCTATTGTATGAGCAGGAGAGTAGCAATGATAAAATCAGATAAGGATAATCGATATGGAGTGGACTCTGTGGTGTCACATGATGGTGCAAAAATGCCTTGTTTTGCTGTTCCGGAGCTTTCGGTTTTTCGAAGTAACATTGGTGATGAAGACTATAATATGGTATAAAAATAATCTAATTACTAAAATTCTTAAACTTTAATGTTAATTACTTGCAGCTATCAATTCATTTTTATTTGATTTTTTTTCCTTTTTAGGCGTTCAATGGTTGCAAATCTGTACATTGTTGCATTTAGTTCCATAGCGTTTTTAGAATTCCTTTTCCGTTTCCAAATGTCTTCATATTATTTTAAACATGTTTGATTACAGATGCTGTCTTTTGTCAGCATAGATAAATTCCATTTAAGGTGATGTAGACTTGAGAAAAATGGCAGTTCAATAATCATTTCATCTTTATAAAAGCAGAACACCGTACTTAAGTAAGATGCTTGGTATAAAATGCTATGTTATTAGCATAGGATAGTTGTTTGGATTACTAGTATCTTTAAATAATAATGTGATCAATGATATTTATGCCTCATTATGATGAAATCTAGATTTCAACAGAATTTATTGACATCTAGATACTGGATTATTTAATCTTGTTAGATAAGAGTGCATTGTTAGGAAATATAAAATTACAATAAACATGTTGCATTCATAGATAATATTGTCTTCTAAATAATATTGCTAACATCGAAGCAATTATTCCAACAGCTTGTTTTGATCACTAAACATGTTTTTGTTTAGTTTTATTTCTTTTTTTTTCAATTTACGCTTCTAATTTGTGATTTCATAGTGCATTGGTTCTACATTCAAGAGTTGTCGAGTTATTTCTTGTCGATATGAAAGTTTTTTACGATTATCTTGTTTGATCGGCCATGGATTGCAAATGCACTTAGTCGTGCCAAGTAGGAGGTTATTGGAGCTCAAACTCATTTTTTAATTAATGCTTTGCTCAAGCTTTATGGACTGATACAAGCTTATGTGATAGTGTTTAAGCTCAAGCTCATTTACTAAAAGCTTATTCAAACTTCTTTTGAGCTGAATTTGAGCTTGTTCATATTATGATTTACAGGCTTTAAATGAGTTTTATTAAGCTTTATTAAGTTAAGTTTATTAAACTTCTCAAACGAGGGTTAATTGATAAAATTAAGCTTGTTCGTGTTTTGCTTCCTAATGGATGCTTTTATTAGCATCGCATTTAATCAATTTCTTAAATAATTTTATAGATGATCATAAATGAATAGAGTATTAAGCGTTTCAAGTTTGTTCATTCAACAATCAAGATTTATAAAAATTTTCAAAACTTATTTGAGCAGCTAATCAAATGATCATGAATGAGCTTTAATTAAGCCGAACCACTAGTAGTGTATCTAACATTCAATTCATTTGCAGCCATATTTACTTCTATGCGATTTTTTTTGTAAAGATTATTTAGCATGTTCCTTTCAATTCTACAGTTAATGATTTCCTAAATTTACACATGAAATCCCTTAAACTTACCTCATACTACAAACAGCACATAATTTTTATGCATATACATATCTGACACCTAATCTTCCATACTTACAACACTTGAATATTTAATATCGAATAAAAAATAACACTACTACTACTCTTTAGAAGTGAAATACACTTTTTTATGCATAGGTTTAAAACACCAACGTGCTTTGTAAGTAAATACAAAAGTTCAGCATTGAAATATTTATATACAAAAGAATTACGCGCTAAGAATGTAAATTTCCTAACATTTTAATATTTGCTTCTGTATCTTGCAACATTTGCCTCCAGCTTGATGTCATAGGGATTGATGAAGCTCAGTTTTTTGAAGACCTCTACGATTTCTGTCATATTGCTGCTGATCGTGATGGAAAGACTGTTATTGTTGCTGGTTTGGATGGTGATTACTTGAGGTACTTAAACTGCTGAAAGTGAAATATTTCTTACAAGGGACATTTACATACATTTCACCCAGTTCTTATGTATTTACATATCTAAGACCTAAACTTCTGATTTTTACACTTCTACTACCCAATTCTTTCATATAACATAAACAGTACTACCATTTTAACTTTGAAAAAAAAAGAAGGTTAAAACATCTTTTCATGCATAGGTAAGATGCTATTTATGTAAAAATTAAACTTTAGGTGTTAGATATGTAAACAGATAAGAATTGGGTAAAAGTTAAATACATCTTTTCATGCATAGGTAAAGTGGTATATATGGAAAAAATAAAGTTTAGGTGTTTTGTATGTTAATACATAGGAATTTAATGGTATGCATGTAAATCCTCCTAAAATTTTCTCATGAAATTCAATTTCTAGGAGGAGATTTGGTTCAGTGCTCGATATAATTCCGCTTGCCGACTCTGTTACTAAATTGAACTCGAGGTGTGAACTATGTGGCCGACCTGCTTTCTTCACCTTAAGGAAGTCGAACCAAACCGAAACAGAACTTATCGGCGGTGCCGATGTTTATATGCCGGTTTGTCGGCGGCATTATGTTAGCGGACAGGCATTAATTGAAACAACAAAAATTATTTTGGAAGGTAAGAAAATTGAAACTTATTCTGAAGCTGCTCCTTTATCAGGATTATGAGACGGAGTACTAAGGTTTATTCTTCATCTGAATGCTTTCATTCTTAGTATAAGTTATGTATGTTTATATGGTTTTATTTTGATGTGCATGTTTTGCTGTGTTTTGAAACACTTTGGATTTTTGAAATAGTTATTATTATAGTTTACAAAATGTTTGTAATTTCTGTGACGTATTTAATGCTCTCTCTCTCTCTCCATATAATACAGAGTGTTTAGGAGTATAGTCAATAGTAGTAAAAGAGAGTAATTTTTATTCAAGACATTTATCATTTATTTACAGGCATAGGTCTCCGTGTTAAAAAAAATACATATTAGTCTTTTCATCATCGAATTTTTAGGGATTTTTTTAGTAAGAACAATCTAATTTTTATTCAAGACATTTATCATTTATTTATAGGCATAGGTCTCCGTGTTACAAAAATACATATTAGTCTTTTCAGCATCGAATTTTTAGGGATTTTTTTAGTAAGAACAATTTTACTCAAATATAGTAAGTTGGGGAATTGATATGATCGATAAGACTTTGTAAATCGTCTGGTAAGTCTAGACTCAATTGATACTTAATCCGAAAGGTTGCTTCCTATCGATCGTCATCGAGGTAATCATTGCCTTGCGGGTAATCTTATGGCACATTTCACCGATCTCCCAAATAAGATACCCCTCTAGCTGTCGTCCAACATGAAATGATCGTCAATCAGTTACGTTCAATTGACTGTTTTTTTTACTTGAATCGTTTATTTGTCTTGAGATTCGTGTTAACATATTTTATATGTACATATTTAGTTAGTGTTACAAAATTACATATTAGTTTCTTTGTCATTGACTTTTTAGAGGGATTTTTTCAGCAATTACATATTTATTAAAATATAATAAGATTGGAAAATTGATTTGATCGATAAGAGTGTCGATCGTCCTGTAAAACTCTACTCAATTGATAATTAATCTGAAAAGAAGCTTCCTGTAGATCTTCATGAGGACTATTCACCGTATTGTGGGAAATCATTGGGTACATTTCGCCGATCTCTCGAATGAGATGCCCCTCTAATTGTCGTCTAGCCCGAAACGATTGTCAATCGGTTACTTTTGATCGGTTGTTTTTATTTTTATTTTTTTGCTTGAACCGTTCATCTATATATTTACTATGTCGCAAGCCTTGGCCTGTTGGTGGCGGGGTTACTGTAAATTCGCTCAATTCAAGGGGTTTAATTCCACCGTGGTGCGTGGGCTCTGAAATTTTAGATATATGGTGTGGGCTCTCATCATGGGACTAAAAAACGCATGGAAAATCGATGTTTGGGCTTTGTCAAATACCAATTTCTTTTATATATATATATAGAGACTGAGAAACCATATTCCTTTGGTTAAGTTCGTCTATAATAACAACTATGAATCGAGAAATGATATGGCGCCATATGAGATGTTATATGGTGGGATAAGCAAGACAACTTTAATTTAGACAGAAGTGGGTGTATAAGATTGATAGGTTCTGAATTAGTAGATGATACCATTGAAAAAATCAGATTAATCTCGAATAGATTGAGAGCAACACATGATAGTGACTAATTATGTAATTAGTGACTAATTATGCTTTTTTACAGGAATTTTGTGTAATTAGTGATTAATTATGTAACTTCATATATTTTTTTAATATGATTAGTACATAAGTATAATAGTCGTGATTTTAGTTAGATTATAGCATTCCTTTATTTATGTATCAATAATGACACAATTAATGTGATAATCAATGTAAATAAAGTAATAAATTTCTTTTAATGGTTATAACTAAACAAATGGAGAAGGATGTGGATATTTCATCAGCTAGCCTCTCTACCCCAAATTTATGGCTTTCTTTATTGCCTTCCAGTTAGATACAAAAAAAAAAAAAAATTTTATTATTTACATATATATATACCATCCTATTCTAATATATATTTGCATATTTAACACCTAAACTTCATTTTTTTACATTTACACCACCCAAATCTTCTTCTATAGCAAGAAATACCATTATTTTGACTTCTAAAAACAAATGCAATATTACAAAAAAAAATTAGCGATGTAATAAATGTTCTTTGCATGTAATTAGAAAAGAATAGAGAAGAAGATAAATTTGGGGTAGAAAGGGTAGGTGATGCAATATCTATATCTTCTTTCTTCGCTTGTTAGTTATAACCATTAATAGAATATTATTACTTTGTTGAAATTGATTAGCACATTAATTATGTCATTAATGATACACAAATAGGTGATATTCGTAAAAGGAATGATAGTATAAGTAAGCTTGTTGCTACTATAAGAAAATATGAATATTGATCCTTGAAAATTGTATAATTAGTCACTAACTATACAAAATTCTTGTGGGGAAGTAAGTTTGGTGGACTTTATTGTGTTACAAAAGTTGTTATTTTCCAAATTTCGTAGGGGCACATATATAAAACACAATTCTTATTACTTTACATATCAAAGACATAAATTTCCATGTTTACAAGCGTATCGCTTGAATTTTTGATATCATATCAAAATATCACTATTAGTTACTTTAAAAAAGTAAAATACATGTTTTCATGGTGAGATTATAACAACGGTGTTTTGAACATAAATATAAAACTTTAAGTTTACAACAAAAATAACAACCAGCCTTTACCATGCTAAGTGGGGTCAGCTACACAAATTTTTTCTCTCCATTGTGTTCTATTCAGTGTATATTGTCCTTTAATTCTAATAAATTGAGATCTTTTTTATACAACAAGCCCAAATATTTGTAAGTTTGCATGTACTTTTATAAGCTTAAGTCAAATCTAAATCATATATTGTTCTAATAGGGTTGGCATATGATCAACTTTTGATTTGACCCGACCATCTAAGACGACTCTATCTAATTTTTTCAGCCACTAGAACTACTCCAACACTTTCACGGATGTATATGTTTCACATTTTCTCTTATTGTAAGAGCACTCATCCACTTGAGCATTCTCATCTTAACAACACTTAAACTTAATTTTATGCTCTTTTAAAAGCCAACATACTGCGTCACAAAGCATCGTAGGTCTCATGATCATCTTATAAAATTTTTCTTTAAGTTTAGGCGGTAGATTTTTATCACACAGTAGACCCGTTGCATTTCTCTACGTCAACCATCCAACTTGAATTATAGTATTGACATCCCCATCTATATCACCATCACTTTGAACAATAGCCCTGAGGCATCTAAAATCCTCATTTTGTTTAGTGACTTGATTACTCATTGTTATAACCTTGCCACTAGATCTACTATTATTAGAATTAAATTTCATGTATTTAGTTTTAGATTTATTCAAACAAAAGCCTTTAAACTCTAAAGTAAACTTCCACAATTCATGTTTTTTTGGAACTCTCTCTCTAATCTTATCCACAAGAAGGATATCATGAGGGAAAGCATACAACAAGATATATCCTCTTGTAAATGTCCAATAAGAGCATCCATAACTAAAACAAAAGATATGGGCTTAAAGTCGATCTTTGATGCAATTCAACTGAAGTTCTTGGTCAATCCTCCTTGTGTTCGAACACAATAACTTTAGTATCTTGAATATAAAGAATATTAGCACTTCTCTTTTTTAGAACTCTAAGTATTTCTTTTGGAACTTCACTATTGATGGGATGTATTTCCCTTTTTTTTAAATTAGAAAGCCTTGCAAATATTATTGTTTTCAGTTTTTCTATGGAAATTATCTGTAAATATTTTCATCACAAAAATTTGCAATGTTTATGATTAATTACTTTCTAATCAGTTATATGTCACGGATTAACTTATCCCAAGTAACGTGTGCGGCTTTAGCACTCTTATTTAGCAATAAATCAACATAATATCTCTCACAACACTTAAACTTGTAAGCATAAAATAATCTAAAAAGAGTAGGGAGAAGTATTGGAGAAATGAACACTTCACTAAAAAAGAAGAATTACAACACTTGAATTACAACACTTGAAAGCTAGAAAGCTTGGATGGTTTCCTTGGATGAATGCTTGTATCCTTTCAAATAAGGGGAGAGACTCCTATTTATAGTCATCTCCAAGACTACTAAAACATTCTAGATTAAACATTAGAATACACTAATTTTTAGATAGTTCTACATCATTCTTTATATATACATGATTCTAGAACCTTCCATAATATTCTAGTATCTCTTGAAGCTTGCTTCTTTCAGCATATTTATGGAATTATGTGCAACATTCTAGAATTCTTTAAAATATTCTCCTTCTTTCTAGTTTTTTTCTAGAATGTCATGGAATCTTCTAGAGTCATTTGGATTGCTCTCTATATTCTGAGCTTCTCTAGAATCCTCTTTTCACATGTTAAGCTTGTCAATTATTCTTGAAGATGGTGAAGCGTGACACTCTCCCCCACTTAAGCTCGCAATGCCCTCATTATGGCTTCCCCTTGACACTCGGACCAGCTTCCTTTGTTTGCTCTTAGCAAACTTAGGTTTTTCATTGGTGATTTGGGGGAGGGGTGTCATGCAGTGAGACTTCATGACTAGCGGCTTAGTCCTTGGCTCCAACATAATCAGATGATTTTTTTCCCTCCTTGGTGGTACTTCTTTAAGTACCTCCACCACTTCCCTTGGCATGCCTTCTTATGGTTTTGCTTCTTCATCGGAGTCGTGAAGAGTCGCCAAGTAACTCTCCTTTTCTTTTGGAATGACTTCTTTGAATTAGATGGCCAATAACACTTTGAATTCCTGCTTGTTAGTCCTTGTTATCGGTACTAAGCAAGCTTGATTCCCTTTCATGATGCATATGTTATTGAGGAAGGGCATTAGGAATGCTCTAGCTTAATCAGAAAAGTTCATCCCTAGAGCAACTTTAAAATCATCCATCGGAATTACAGAGAGTCTAAGATGTCTAACCACGCTCTAATATTGGTCTTTACTCCTCTGGCTATTCCATGGATTGGTCTTTTGACTGAATTGACTACCTTGATGGAGCCTCCTCCTTTAGTCATCTGCAAACCTAATATCTTTGCTTCCTCAGCGGAGATGAATTTATGGGAAGCACTCGTGTCCACCATTGCTCTAGTGGCCTTCCCGTCTACTACCATCTCCACAAAGAATAACCCCTTTGCTTTGGGTTTTGTTGGAGCTTGCATCCCATTCAATAGTTGTATAACCTCTACTTGTGTAGTCATATCACCACATTTTTCCTTCTGATGACTTGCAAGGAGAGAGTTTAGAGCCTTTTTCTGTGGACAATCCCTTGCTCAATGAGGTCCTTCACAAAAGAAGTAGTTGTTATGTGATCTAGTGTTGTTAGACTTCACCTTGTCCTTTGCCTTAGATGGGGTTGATTCATGACGATTCTCTTCCTTATGTGATCCTTGTCTCCCCCACCTTTGACATAGTTTCTCTTCTTTTCCATTTTGGCTTTGTAGACTCCTTTAAGTAATCAATTAAGTTTTCTGAGACCATGATGGAAGTGGCAAGAACTCGCACTCCACACCTCCTAAGATCTGTCTTTGCCCACTGTTGGAGTCCATCTATGAAGTTTAAAAGAACATTCTTGTCGGACATGTTGAGAATTTCAAAAACCAGGCTAGTAAACTTTGTACTATATTCATGAATCGATCTCATTTGCTTGAGTCTTCACAATCAGACCCTAGCATCATCCTTCACATTTTTGGGGTAGAATTGCCTCTTTAACTCCTTAAAGTTATTAAAAGTCAATATAATGCACATACTTTTCTCAATATCTCCTCACCTTTTTCTCCACCATAACATAGTGATGTTTGTGAGAAAAAGAGCTGCAAATTTTATTTTTGTCTTTGCACCCGTAATCCTCATCGCCCTGAAATATTGCTCAAGTCGCCATAAGAAGTTATTCACTTTCTTCACATTGTGAGTTGCTCCAAAATTCTTTGTTTTGGAACTTTAATCCTCTTTACTTTGAATGTGTGATGCTTGGTGGGTGTCGTTGGTGTCTCTTGCATAGCGAGATGTCTCCACACATTTCCTTTAAGTTAGTATGTACGTCGCTCATCTCGTCCTCATGGGCTCTATGTACTTCCTGGAGCTCCCCCATCAAATCCTCCTGCATCTTAGCCATTTGATTCCTTAAGGACTCCTCAAGTTGGAGCATTATACCTCTGATCGATGAATGAATTGTGATGTCCTCTTCCTTGATTTCATCAAATTTTTGGCCAAGATCCTCTATCTGGGTCTCCATGTCATTCATTACCTCCTCCACCCGAGCAAGATGTGAATCAAAGTCATGCATGATCTTGCATGATCTCCTTGGACCTCTCCCATGTGGTTTGGATGCAGATGGATATCGTTGCTCTTGACGAATTCCATTACGTGCTCTCTAACGCTTTTTGTCATACCTTCGAATCGAGGCTCTGATACCAACTATCACTGATTAATTTATCCCAAGTCACACGCGTCGCTTTAGTGCTCTTCTTTAGCACTAAATCAGCCTAATTTCTCTTTCAACATATTTATGGAATTTTGTGGAACCTTCTATAATTCTTTGAAATATTCTTCGTCTTTTTAATTTTTTTTTCTAGAATATCATGAAATCTTCTAGAATCCCTTGGATTGTTCTCTAAATTTTGGGCTTCTCTAGAATCTTTATCTTACATGTTTAGCTTGCCAATTTTTCTTCAAGATGACGAAGCGTGTCATATAGCTGACTTATGAATCTCGTGCGATTAAATAATGGTGTGGTTTAAAATAGGAATGCCTCATGATTTCAGCATAGCGGCATTTACATATATGCTAGCCAAGTCTAATAAATACTTACATATTTGACACTTTACTTTTTTACATTAATACCCCCAAAGCTTTCATCTAGTATCAAAAGTACCCCCATTTAACTCTTAAAAAGTGAAATACATTTTTTTCATCCACGGGTAAAGAGGTATGTAAAAATTGTAGTTTAGATAATTTATATATAAATACAAAAGAATTGTGTGGTATGTAAATAAATCTTCCTTTTTTTCGTGTTAGATTCGAATCTTTCTCACAACTAAGAGAAGTGCTTGTAAAAAACCTAATAATGTTGTCACATTATTTGATTCAATCTAAAAAATACAAAAAAAAAAAAAGAAAAAATCAGTGTAATTAAAATGAAAAAATCAGTGTAATTAAAATAAAAAATCAGTGTAATTAAAATATAATCTACTTAAAATATTTAAAATTATTTGGTCAATCTAAAAATAATTGTATGAATTTAAATACATTAGAATTGTGTTCATTTTTTTAACAGCTGTTATAATTGTTTAATAAAGGCTAAATGTGACGGATAGCTGTTTCTGACAAGATGGTAGGTGATGAGGACCATTTCAATTAACTTTTCCTAGGAAAACAGGCCCAGTTTTTTCAACGACCATGATATATTGCCTGCGATGCTTCGTTTCTTGTGGGTTATATTCATTTTTTTGAGAAACAGAGGAAAAAAAAATACAAAAAAGATAACAAAAATATAGAAAACAAAATACTTAATTAATTGAACCCTAAGCAAGCCACAAGCAACAAACCAAATCTCAATCCAATAAACACTTTATGAAAGAAAAAACAAAAAACTACTTTTTTATCAGAATCAGTTAAACGCATCGTTTTCCATGACCAAATTACTATTTTTTTGACATTAAGAGAGAGAGAGAGAGAGAGCTCAAGTAGCCGACTTCATGAAACCGAATATACAATCAATATGCTACGAACTGATTTAAAATTCTACCCTTTCAAGATCATGCTTAACGGCTTTGCCCCGCTAAAAGGGTAGATGTGTAAATCACTTCATGCCTTTCAACCGGTTGAACTTCTCGGCTCCATGAAATCGGCAAACTTTACTTTTCCCTGCCAAACGACGAAGAAAAGTAACAGTTATCTCATCTACCCTCCTATTATTCAGTCTCGCAGCCGGTTTCAGTGCCGTTGAGCCGGCGTGCTTTTCTCGACTAACCGCAGGCTTGCGAGCCCGGCGGACGCAGCCGCAGAGCATGACGGGTGGTCAGTCGTATTCTGCCTAGCACGTTCTCCGGAGATGGAGTATGGCGGCGGGAGGCTGGCAGGAGGGGCATTGAGACTGGCGAAGAAGGGGTCTCGGAGGAGCTCGGAAGCAGAAGGACGGGCGTTGGGCTTGCCCAGGCAGCGCTGGATGAAAGCATGGAATTCAGGATCGCGGATGCGGCTGAGGCCGGCGGGTGGGATGCCGGCGGTGACCTTGCGGTAGATCTTGGCCACGGAGTCGCACTCGCTATAAGGAATTTCTAGGGTCACCATCTCTAATACGCACATGCCGAAGGAGTAGATATCTACTTGTTCGGTGTAGTTCTCATCGTAGAGTTCGGGAGCCATGAACTCTGGCGTGCCGAGTATTGAGTGAGCTTCGTGGCTTTTGCCAACTATGGCGGCGAGGCCGAGATCACCAATTTTCAGCTGGAAGCACAGGAGGAAAAAAAAATTGTTTCAAGATTGAATTCGTTGTTATAATTACGAATCCAAAACTAAATTATAAAGTCCGGATGGTGTGTTTGGACATGATGCTATCATGGCGAAGTTTTTTAGATGATCAAAACAATTTTTTTTAAGTTTTTGATCGATCCATTCTATTACTATATATAGATTAATGCTAACAGACGTAAATAAAAACATAAACTATAAAAAACTATTGACCTAGGACAGTTTGTTATACAAATGTACTGATTTAAATAATTATATTTTTACCATACAATTTCTCCATGGGATTTTTTTTTTGGAAGTTTATAAATCAATGTTAAATTATCTTTAATATTCAATAAATTAAGGCCGAGGATGATTTGGGTCTTCTCAATTTACCATCCAAAAGGTAAATCCGGGTCATTATCATATGAGTCATATCATCCCTAACCGCAAGTTTTATTTCTTTTATGCAGGCATGAGTGTACTTACGTCGACAAATATACCAGAATTCATGAAATTCAAAAAACAAAAACAAAAATTCATTTCAGAATTTAAAAAAAAAAAAAAACCTGGTTGGAAAACACCGCGCAATTTAAATGAAGAGATGCAAAAAAACTCAAAAGGGAACGGAACATCAGCATATATCTATTTTTTTATTCAAGACTTTCTAATATCGAGACATAAAATTCAATTCCAGGTTAGAATAAAAATTAAAATATCAAAAGAAATTTCTCCTTAGAAAAACGTGAAACTCTGCGTGCCGAAAAGAGATGTAAGATTGAAGTTTTTATTTATTCGCTATTTATTCATTTATTATGTTTTCAAGTGAAAGATCACAATCAGTAATTTCAATTAATGTCCCCAATATCAGCAAAATATAGTAGGAAAGTTTGCATTAAAAATATCATAATTCCGAATCTTTTCCAGAAGACTTTGCGAATTCGAAATGCGAGGATAGGAGGTGTACCTTGCCAGAATTTCCATTCATGAATACATTGCTGCAATTTAGATCGCGATGAATGATGCAGGGGTCATGGTTGTGAAGGTAATCAAGACCAGCAAGTATCTGGAGGCTCCACTTCTTCAAAGCCTTGGGCGAAACATGGCGGTGCTTATTGCGATACTCGCGGAGGTTTCCAGAAGTACAGACCTCGGTGATAAAATTCAGTGTACCAGTCTCGGCGTCCATCCACACGCTGTAGAGAGCGATGATGTTCTCATGACGCAGAGAACGAAGAAGCCGCACCTCCGAGAACAGGCGATTAAGCATCTGCGGATCCTCGTTGAAGCTCCGCAATCTCACCTGATTCCAAGCCACTTCAATCCCCTCCTCCTGATCAAACCCTCTGTAAACCTTCTTTGTCGCGCCGGTACCTAGAAGATCCCCGTATCGTCCATATCTCCCTGTCGGATCCACCTCCTCAAATGGCTCTGCATCCTTATCTGTCAGATCCCGCCTTACGTTCCGCATCCTCCCTGGATCTGCGTCGTCTATCGCAATCCAATCCAATCCAAAACCCTAGACATTTTCAGCACCAAAGTTATATATAAATTCGATTCCAAAAAGAAGAACAAATTATATTTCTCAATCAGAAATAATCAACTCCAAAAACTACATAGAAGATAGAAAAAAGAAACCCCGAAGCGAGAGAGACGACAAACCTTCTATCGATCAAATGAATACAGAGGAAGCACAAATAACAAGAAAATAGGATGTTCTGGATTCTCTCAGGTGCTGGTTTCTATCAGCCATCGATCGTATCGCTTCAGAAGGAAAATTTGATCAATGGAAACAGGGTTTAGGTCTTTGTTTCAAAGAGAAGCAATATAATAAAAAAAAAACGAATCAAATATCGTACCAGAAGATGCCGGGGCGATCCTCTGCTTCGATTCCGTGAGAGACAACAAGCTGCACAACCTTTAGGGAAAGGCTCCTGAAGAAGACGATGGACAAGGCTTACGGGGCATACGAGGGGGCTTTATTTATAGCC